TCCGCATAGGCTGGCACTCGCCCAGATTTTGTGCTTTGTTCACAAGAACAAGACACGAAGGAATGTCTCGAGAATCTACTTTTCCATTTCTAGTGCCATACACACAGAAGGAATCCAGCCAGCAGAGGAAACAGGTTGCCTAGTAGAAGCCAGAGGGTGACCACCAGGCTAGAGGAACAGGAACAGAGATCTAGGGTTGAAAAGAAAAAATTGACTTTCTAAAGACATTTTTGGAATAAATCACACCGACTAAATATTGACAGATAAGTACAGACGATTATTAAAAGATGAACAAGAACCACTTTGGAGAGCAGAATCAGGAATGACTTCCTGAAACCCAGATATGCAAAGTGTTTTTTTTTACATTTTTGGGGAAAAAAAAAAGAGAGAACAAAATGTTTATGTAGGAAGAAAAGATGTACCCACAATATCAAAGTTAAAAAACGGCACCCAAAAAGAGAAAGAAGTGTCTTTGTGTAGTATCCCAGCAAAGTTAAAGATGCTACACATGAAAGTATATTACAGTCTTGGCTATTCTGACATGGGAAGTAGGATTCTCTTCGGTTCTTCCTTCTCCCTTCTTCTAGGGTGACCATATAATTTATTACCCCAAATCAGGACATTTTGAGACAAGTGTTGAAATAAATTTCTAGTCCCAAGATGTAGCACTCCTACTCATGGTGTTACATCAGTAAACTGAAACTTAGATAAATTTCATGTGCATGATCAGAAACACAGTATATCTAGTCAGCCAATTTCCAACCACCGAGCCAACCCTGGGCTCTACGCTTATTTCCTTGTTTCTTGAACTTATGAAATAAAGTCAAATATGCAACCCCAGCCAATCAACATAAGCCAAGTGCTTCTTCCTTGTTTCCTGCTTGCAGCTTTTTTCTCTTATTTTGCAGGTCTCTGGACTCTTGAGAGTGGAGATTGCCCACTTCATGATGTGTGAAATAAAATTTGCTTAGATCAACTATTTTTTTTGATTGTTTTAACACAAGGAAATGCTATTAATAATTATACCAGGACAAAAGGCACATGGACTGTCCTAGGCAAACCAGGACATATGGTCCCCAATCTCTAAATAGATACCCATCTATTGTTCCCTGGTGGTCTAGTGGTCAGAATAGATATCCATCTAGCCACATCACCCCAGGCTTGATCTGGAAACAGTATAAGATTCTATGGGCTTTGGGCCCTAGAAATATATTTTAATTCAGCCATGAGTTATTCTCATAGCTAAAGCAATTTCCCAAAACATATCTCAGAATGGAAAACATTTTTAGAGCAGCCAAGAGACCAGATGAACCTGACTTTTTCTTAAGATGAGTTGTCCTTTCTAATATTTTGACTAGTAAAGACCCAACCAAGCTTCAAGTTTGACCTGTTTAAAAAGTAAGAAAAATAGGGCTGAATAGAATATAACATCAAGATACTGGAGCTGGCTCTTCTGAGCACTAAACAGTGTGACATGAGTATTTTAAAAAATTATTTCACTGCATGTAATTCAGGTAAGCCATGGGGGAACTTCTGTTCTTCCCTAATGGAATCATCTGGTAATTGTTAAATGTTAGGAAAATCCCACTTAACCAAGAACAGACCTTCTCAAAGTACTCTTGGATCAACAAGAGCATCATCAGGAAACCTGTTAAAAATGGAAATTCTCAGGCTCTAACCCAGATCTTCTGAATCAGAAACTCTGAGGGTGATGCCTAGCAACTTGTGTTTTAACATGATTCTGATTCATGCAAAAGTTTAAGAAACTCTGCCCTAGAGCTAGCTGCATGGCCCAATACATTAGCCACTAGCTATACGTGCTACTTAAATTTAAATAACTTAAAATGAAATAAAAGTATTTAATTATTCAATCACACCAGCTACATTTCACACCTTTAACATGTGGCTAATGAGTACTGTATTGGACAATGAAGATTACAGAACATTTCCATCACCCCAGAAAGTTCTATTAGATAAGTTCTGGCCTAGAACATCAGGTAGTGTGGTCTTGGCTGGAATAAGGAATGAAACCTGGAGTCCAATAACACAAGGCATTTCCCTTTATTTCATGATTCTCAATTTGGCCCAAAGGAAATAGGAGGAGAACTAGTTGTTGTTTATCTACTTTTGGCACTAATATTTAACAAGCTATTAAAACATTAATGGCAGCTCTGGAACATTTGTTGTCTTTCAAAAATACTGCACTTTCTGTGATAGTACTCTTTAAAAAGAAAGATTCAAAGAAGATGTTTCAAAATGAACTGGAGACGATCAGATCTGGGTTTTTATCTAAACCTCATTATTTATTATTAGCTGTGACAGTAGACACATTACCTAATCTCTTCATACCTTAGTTTTCTCATGTGTAAAATGATAATTTCTACCTCATTAGTTTTTGTGATGATTACATGCAATTATATAGACTTAAGGCACTTGGCTAGCATTTAATAAATGGAAACAAAAATAACCCCTACAATCTGAAAAGACCAGAAAGAATTTAGAAATAAATCTTTCATATTTACTAATGGAAACTATTTTAGGCAATTCAGAACAACTATCTAATCAAACTCTAGCATTTGGAAGTGATGACTAGAGAAAAGGAAAAAAGATGAAAGTTTTACATTCCAAAAGAAATTACAAATGTGAGAAAAGGCTGTGTGAACTAACACCTGAGATCAGCAATAACGAAACTCAGAAGAATGTGAGGAGAAGAATATCTTTTCACATTATCTCTAGAATATTAGCAGTTTTAACGTTTTAAAAGCATATTTAAAAACCTAAAAAATATTTTAATTCATAACAGATTAAGATAATCATTTGTTTAATAAATATCTTAGGTTAATTCTAATTATTATTTTTCATATAAGTATATTAAAAGCATCACATCTAATTTTACAAGTTTGGTGGGTCATAAACCTATATTAAAAAGAAACAAACTATTTACTTAAAAAATTAGCATATGTAAAGCTTGCCATAGTCCGTGACACACAATTCATTAAGGGCTTAGTGTGTGCTCTAATCACATAAACTAATAAATATGGCAAGTCGGAATATTTTAGAATTTCAACAGTGATACTTATAATGTTTAAAAAGCAATGCCTAAAAGACATCTATTCTTGTAATATTTTATATATTTTTCGAAATTGTAGTAATGATTTATAGATTACAATGTCTTTTTCAGCATGCTTCCTCATAGAATTGGTTAACAGGAAAAGAAATCCCATTGTAGCATCATAATATCAAAAGGGTGATGGATAAAGATGGAGCAGGTTAAATAGAAGTAGAGTCTAAGACACTGGTTGATGGAGGTGGAGGAGGTGGGGTGGTTTGTTTTCTCTACTCTCCACTTCCTTTCCGCAGATTCACCTGTCTTTGTCATGCTCCAACGATAGGATCTAATCATTTCACAGCATCTTACACTGGTCTGGCTTTCCCCACATTCTTTTACTGTACTCCTAAGATTTTTCTTTTTACCCCTGAACCAGCTGGAGTAACTCTCTTTTTATCTCAGCTCTCATTCCTAATGGTTTAATCCTTTCCCATCTCTTGGACAACGAGATATTGACAGTTTCTTACAGTTAACCCTGAGATTAGGTTTGAGGATGGGAACTCCATCAGAACCACCTACCTGTGGACTAGCAGCCCTCTAATTCTAGCCAAAGCAATCTAACAGTAATAACAAAAGTAAGTTATCCTACCAACTTCGAATGAAAAGTAAAAGTTAACTAAAAGTATTTAACACTACATACATATACTATATACCACATCAAAAGAATCTAAGATTTTTTTATCATTTCAAACAATTCGTTGTGTCATTACTATTATAACTGCAGAAAACACAGCTCGCTCACTGGAATACTGCGCAGAAAAGAGTTAACATAGCAGGCCTGAGATTGCTGTCCTTCAAAAGTCTTTCTTGTAAGGATGGCCTTTAGCTGGTGTCTAAGAACTGGCTTCCTCCAGATTTTGCCCCATTGCTGATTCTGCTTTTTATCTTTTCACCTTAACAAATCTTACCCACAAGTGCAACAAGAGATTGAGTCCTGTTGAGTCCTCAACACAAGTACTAATCTCCCAAATCTCACCTACTCATAGCTCATGTCTAGATAATGGCCGAGGAAATTAAATCTTAGAGGTGTCGAAACTTTGAGTTCCAAAGCGAATGTAGCCCTCCATTTTCAACCAGACCACAGAATAGGCAAAAGGTTACACAGTTCCATTTAAAAAATACTTCCAGTTCAGAAAATAAAACATCGTATAAGATCTTTCTGTTCACACAGTCATGCATTGCTGAAGGAAGGGGAGGGGGAATGTATTCTGAAAAATGCGTCATAAGGTGACTTCGTCAATGTGCAAACATCATAGAGTGCACTTATACAAACCTAGATGGTATAGCTTACTATACATCTAGGCTATATGACATATAGCCTATTGCTTGTAGGCTACAAGCCTGTACAGCATGTTACTGTACTGAATACTGTATGCAATTGTAACACAATAGTATTTGTGTATCTAAACATATTAAAACATAGAAATGGTACAGTAAAAATATGTACAGTAAAAATGGTACAGTAAAAAATGTTACAGTGAGAAATGGTGCTGTAAAAAATGGTACAGTATAAAAAATAAAAAATGATACATCTGTATAGGGCACTTACCATGAATGGAGCTTGAAGTACTGGAAGATGCTCTGGATGAATCAGTGAGTGAGTGATGAGTGAAAGTGAAGGCCTAGGAATGTTACTGCACTCTACTGTAGGCTTTATAAACACTGCCCCTTAAGCCCTCCCCCTGCTTTCTCCTGAGAGGGTCAGATGTAGAATATCGAAGCTGTCAGTGCTGCTCCACGAACAGGGATGTGAGCTGGACTGACTGGAAACATTGAAGGAGAAACTGGCTGGGTCCAGCGCAGACCACCATAACAGTGACTGTCGGGAGGGAGTGAAAGGTGGCCAGAGGATCAGTTGGAATAAGAAATCAAGATGGAGAGATAAAGAAACCCAGAAACTTGTCACAGCAATGTGGTTTTGGCTACTGAATGTTGGAGCAGTGGTCAGATTAAGGAACTTTGCGGTATTTATTACAAAAGAAAAAAAGAGGATGTTTCACACGGAGAACGTATAGAACTGACGCCTCAACATTATGACTTTGGAAATTTGTTTTTGGTTCCGTTGAACCCATCTGGCACAGAAGGGCTCTCTCTGGCACTGAACTGACAGAAGAAATAAAACTTACCTAGGGTTCACATCATTACAACCTGAAAATATTTCCAAAGTAGAGGAATAGGCTGGCTCCACACTACCACAGAAAGCTTCTAATAAAGTGACAGTGGCACTTAACACTTGTTAAAGTAGCTCCTGTATCCTTGTACAGGATCTTAGGTCTTCAACAAAGAATTTACAGCAAGGTACTCTGAAGACCATCAAGCTAGATCTAGGATAGCTGTAGTGCCCTCTGAATATACATCACTGAGAGGACACTCTGAATATATATCACCAAGGGGACAGGCTCCTCTATGCTGAGACAGGCCAGTGGCTGGCTGGCTGAGATGTAATCTGTACACTCAAAACTGAGGGGCTACAAATGAGAAAGAGTCTATTACCAAGCCTCACAGATCTTGCTCCCATCACACATACACACAATCAGTGGTGGGAAAGAGATTTTCCCTATAAAATTACAATTAGAAGAGAAAATGATCAAATGGCCTGTTTTAGACTTTCCTTAAAGGGAATTTTCAAAATCTTATAAGAAAAGTCCCTCTCTACTCCAACCACAGAGACTACTCACCCAGAGGCAGAGCTCGGGTCAAGTTAGTAGCTGGAGGATCTGTTTCTGGGGGACAGAGCTCACAGAAGTCCCAACATGATGGGCAGAGCAGGTTTCCATCGTGAATCCAGCCATTCATCTGAATACTGACGGGTAGAACCTGCCCGGCCCGACTACACAAATATGAAATGTCCTGGACCCAAACCTTCAGACCTTGTGGAGAACAAGAAACCTTCAAATAGAAGAAAAAAACAAAGAAGATCAATAAGATTTTAGTATACAGGATTTCTCCTTCATCGTCAGGAAAATGGGTTAGTATTTACTAAAACTACTGGCTATAAAACACAATTTGGGGTATGGGCATATCTTTGATCTCATATAAAGAGAGTTAAGTTATTCAGGTTCTAAAAGCATTTCACTGTATGGTAGAAGTTTTAAAACTTTGAGTCTAGCACCTTTTTAAAATCTGATGAAAGCTATAGGCACTTTTCCTGAGAAATACAAGGACTCATATCTCAATAACAAGGAGTAACTAATGAAATCAATTTTAAAAAGCAAACACATTAAAGTTAACTTTTGAAAATTTTAAATGACTGTTTCTTCTTCAAAGTTGTTTTCTAAAAAGACTTCATATTAATTTCAATTATACTACTTCAAATATTTCTAAATCTTCACTCCTGGAACTATCTTCAAAGCAAGTGCATGCTTCTGAAAATGATGAATGGTAGCAAATTTTTACTTTACGAGTAGATGTAATTTTTGGAAATGCTCCCAAATTGCCCAGAACTGAGTTTGGTAAAGGTAGTTGACTAAACTGGTTAACACTAGGTTAATACAGGTGTGATACAAAGTAATAAACTGATTTTCTTAGATAGCTATTAAACTACTGCTAAAGGCAATTTCAAAAGAGGAGTTCCAAAAGTACATTTCAACAATGGAGTCATTTTTGAAATAACTCTATCATCAGTTAAGTTTAAATATAATAATCATTTAGAAATTTCAGGAAAACAATGAAGTGTAATCTCTTCCATAAGCCTGTCATTCAGTAACCCACACCAACTAAATATCACCATAGTCTGAGTGCAATATAATCATCTTTTAAGTGAGAACTGAGTACCATGCTTAGTCCTGAAAAGTATACCAAAGAAGTCCACAACAAAGTACCTGTCCTATAGCAGCTTTAATTACGGAGAGAAGGGTGGGAAATGAATTTTTTCCCAAAAAAATTAGCAGTGTCAGACTGTTTTATAATTAAGAGTCAATAAATAGTAGAAACAAGAACAATAAAGATTAGAAAGTTTCATGGAAGAAAGAGCATTTATAGCCTAAGAATTTGGATTACAGAGAGGAAGAGACGTTGTAACCTGGCAGGTTGTGTCAGAGTCCGAGTGGTTGAGGAGGGTAACTGTGTAGGGGTGGGAGAAGGTGGAAGAGATGTCAACAGATCAAATAAGTAAGCATATTGAGAACAATGAGAGCCAGATTTCTCACCGTCAGAGAAAGGAGTTACAAATATGGAAAGGGAGAAAGTTAAATGAATCCACTTATGTTGGACTGAAATCAAAGATATTGGTATAAACTCATGTTTTATAAATCTATATCTATCTATATATTAACTGTATACATATACGCACATGAGTGTATATATAAATTACATAATACATATATTTCCTAGCTCTGTCTACTAAGAGGGCCTGGGGAGAAGCTGTATCCCAATAGCAATGAACAGTACATCTAAGCACCCAAATCTTAGTCTCTAAATATCACATTCCACTAAAAGAAACAAGAGCTCCATGGAGAAATGGGTGATTCTAGGCTTGGGCAAAGAAAGTAAAAATGGGCCTATAATATCTTATGCTAGAAAACAAGGAAATAGTCAAAGAAAGATATGGACATGACAGAGGACACAGAAACCAGCCCGAAGGGGCTCCCTCTGGCCAAAGCTGGGGTAATTTGAATATTAAAATAAAGAATGATAGTAATGGTACTATCCATTGAATAAAGTAGAATCCTTGAGTCAATACTGATATACATAAATAAATGAAAGAATGATAAGAAATAAGTTATTGATATAGTACTTCCCTCCAAAATACTTAATAATTAAAGAGAATCAATTAAAACAGAAAAGGAGTAACTTGTTAGTGGAAAGGTCTGGTAGATACCAACAACATCACCAGTAAGGGGACAAATCAAAAGAGTATACCACTAGAACATGAGCATCATGTCTGTGATATTACTGCCCCAAACACATTACTAGAATTTAATAAAACATCAGACAAACCCATATTAAGACATAACCTAGAAAACAACTGGCTCGTAATCTTTAAAAGTGTCAAGGTTATGAAAATCAAAAAAAGAATGAAGAACTATTCCAGATTAAAGAACAGAGACATGACAATTACACAACATGTATTATTAATCTTACTGCTACAAGGACATATTAGGACACTTGGCAAAACTTGAATAGAGTCTGAGAATTAGATATATCAATGTTAACATCCTGATTTTTTTTTTGGTAGTATTATGGTTATGTAAGATATCTTTGTTTGTAAGAAATACACATTAAAGTATTTGGGAATGAAGAGGAAGCATGTCAACAATTTACACTTACATGATTCAGAAAAATAAAATTTTTTATACTATTCTTGCGACTTCTCTGTCAAATTAAAAAAACAACGAGAATAAAACAGCTAATCCATATGTTAATTGTTTGGAAATCAAACACACTTTCCCACATAAATGGTATTAAATTAGCAAAATTAACTGACAACACTAGGTACAGGGAAGTCAAGCAGTATATTCAATCTTTGTAGATGGTATTACAAATCTGCATAATCCCTTTGCAGTGAGGATAGTGTTGATAAAACATTAAAATAACCTGAAAAGGTCCTCCTCCTATTATAGTTGTCACTGTTCTAGCTTTAATCTAATATTTATCCCCTGTAACCTAATATTCTCACTTATAAGGATTTATTTCAAAAAATAAAAAAGGGAAAATACATATGTATACCTATAAAAGCATTTTTACATAGTGAAAAGTAAAAATTAACTCAATATATAACAAGGAAGTAACTTCTTAAATTATGATACTTTAAAATGATACAATGTTCTACAGCCATAAGTAATAAGTACCATTAGAATAACTTGGAAAGGGTGTTTTGCTCTGCATAAAAAGTACTAAGTGAAGGCAGTAAAACAAAATTACATATTGTGGTTACAATAGGTCAAAACTACATATTGAATCGATACATAAATCCTTAATGAAATTTATCAGAAAATGGTTGCTGGATTATAGCTGTCAAGTTATAGCTGGAAAGTGTTTTTTTTTAAATTGGCCTTTATAAGATTTCAAAGATAATTGTATATGAATTCTATGTGTGAACTATATCTCAATAAAACTGTTATCAAAAAAAATTAATTTTATAAGAAACTTTAAAAATAATAGTTAAATTCCCAACTACAGAAGTCCATTAAGCTCTTGAAGCTGAAATGGCACAACAAATTCTTATTTTTCAGTTTTCAGGATCACACTCTCCTGACATCTATTAGAATGGTATGGAATATTCATTAAATTGGATGCTCCTACATTACAGAATGCCTGTATCTTAGTAAGTTCTTAATGAGGTGATATAGTCATTTAATACCAGACATGCAAATAAGATAATTAAGAAAACAGTCATTTGCCCTCTTTGGATTTCTAATTTCAAAAGAAAAAACCTATTATTACTCAGTAGTTGATTTATTAATTCTTAAATCTATGTTCTCTTCAGATCTCATAAATTTGTAACTTTTTTCCATTACAAAGTAATACCTGTTCAAGAACAAAATTACATATTTTCCATTATTTCCTTAGGGCATATGCCAAGAAGTAAAATTATTATAAAACTTGCTGATATATAGCAATTATATATATTTTTTTATTAAACAAATGGAAAAAAGGCAATTTCTCTCAAAAAATGACAATATTTTCACAAAACACAAGCATCCAAACTAATATGTACATAAATAAACAAGATAAGTAAAATATTAATCAGTATATGAACTATAAAAAATGTATTTTAAAATATAAAAATCAAATAATGACATAAAATTACAATATTTGGTATAATTATTAATGATCATTTAGTTTACCTGATAACATCCACTTCCCCAGTCTGGGTAACTCAGCTTCCTTTCGCACTTTTCCATGACAAATGCTGATTTCTGAATTAGACAAACTGAATGAGGTCCGTACTTTTCAGCACCATAGTTTTTAAAAAGGTCTAAGGCAAACCAGAAAAGTTTTCTTAAAAATTGACTTTTGGTTTAAAGAATAAGAAATTGAAGCATTCCATTCTTATTATTAGAAGTTGCTTTAAAAGTCAAACATGTTTAATGGAAATTTTCAATTAAAAAAATCAAAAGAAAGAGAGCACCAAACTCAAACTGAGTTCTCAATAAAAGAATTAGTGGAAGAAAATCGTTACATCAGAAACAAGAGATAAAACTGGGCCTGAAGTATTTAAGTTAGATATGTAGAATAAATGGCATTAAGAATCACTTTACTGGTGGCCTAAACAGGAGTCACCTCCCAAGTGACCCATGATAGGATGAGGTCAATGATGTACATAATGAAAGTTTTTTCAGGGTGTTGCAACTTTTATAAAACTTTCTTATATTGATCTAGTCTCAGACTAAGCAAAAAGCTGCAGAGGTATGGGGTGGACTCGATGATCTCTAAACAGCTAATGGATGAAGCTCTTAAACCCAGCAATACTTTGAGCTCTTTACACTTAATACAAGTTTTATCTTTTGAAAGCAGAGTTCAATTAGCCCTTTTTGAAATATTATAAAGTATTTTATTTTGTTAGTTTTGAAAAATCTTAACTGTATAAGCTAAGAAAGAAATGTAATATAGAATTCTACATTTCTTTAAGAGTATTTCGAAGTCCTCAAAAATGTAGTAATCGGTATCTAAAAAGAAAAAAGAAAAAGGATTGGCAAACTACAATCCTTAGGCCAAATCCTGAGGGTTTCCTGTTTTTTATAAATAGTTTTACTAGAACAGGGCTACACTCATTTACATATTGTCCATGACTGCTTTCCCACTATAACAGCAGTATTGAGTAGTTGCAATACAGATTCTATGACCCATAAAGCCTAAGATATTTACTATCTTGCTCTTTCCTATAAACATTTGCCAACTCCAGCTCTGAAACAATCAAATGTGATACTATATCTTCAGCAAACCCATGATTGACAGATCTGTGCATTTCTTTTGCTTTAACATGGCACTGCTGGGTAGTTGTATCATAAATCTTTAGACAGTTATTAAGCTGGTGAGTGATGGAAAAAAATAACTGTACAAATTTGCCAGGTTTAAGAATAAGAGAAAAAAACATTATGGAAATTTAAAATTTAAATGACTTAGTCTGTAATAAAGTATGGAATAAGGGGAGGAGAGGAAAGACCAAGTTAAAAATTTTGATGACCATAGTGAGAAAACTACTTATTGCTGTGCATTATCATATGTGAGAACATTTTATTTACAGAGGTGGTAAGTATGAGCTCTAAGTATTATTGCTGAGTATCCAATTGCCATACCATTTATTCCTTTGATAATCTGTTCATTTATATCTATAAAGAGAAAATAAGTAATATGGCAATACATATTCCTAGCCATGGGACAATAGTATTACTCTGATATCTGGAAAATGACGTTACTTCTAAATTACGTAAAATGCACACTCCTCGGGGGAAGAAAAAATAGGATACCTAATATGATTAACTAAATCCAGCTCTCCATTGAAGGATCTTGCACTAACACCAATTAAATGAATCATTTAGTGTTTCTGTTCATTTGTGAAATTCGATAATATCTTCTCTATGTCTCTCATCAAGTTTTTAGAAGAAGAAAATGAAATGATAAAAATGAAAGTACTTTTCAAATGAAAAGTGTCATACAGATATAAGGTATTATTAAAAAGTAGTGTGTGTATATACCTGTGCAAGTGCATCTAATAGCTTAACAATCCCTATATGTCATGGTTCTAAGCTCTTACTACATTAATTCATTTAATTCTCACAACTCTATGAGATAGGTCTTACTATCTCCTTTGTACAGAGGAGGAAACTGAGGCACAGAGAAGTTAAGTTACTTAAAACAGATGCATAGCAGTGGAACCACAATACAAACTCAGACAGTCTAACTCCAGGGTCGGTGCCCTTAACCACTATTTTACTGATATGTAACTGTAATTGTATACCACATTTCATTTCACTAAACTACTAACCTGGTTGATTTTCCAATATTCTACAATCTGAGCTGCGTTGATATTCACCACTTAAATGCCAACTGAATTCCTGACTGAAAGGGCAGTAGTCAGCAATTTCTACTGAACCACCATAATAAGGCAAATCTTCTGCAGGTATTCCACTGAGCTCATCAAAGTACTATAAAAAAATATATTAGGAAGGCAGGAAAGAAAAAAACATTCTGTATAATCAAAACAAAGTCCACAGGCAATTTAGAGCAACCCTCTAATGCTGTACAACACAAAGTAAATATTTATGTACTTTCTTCATATATAGTACAACACAAAGATAGTAATAGACTACCTCAACAGTATGTCAAAGTTGTAGTTTTAGAAATAAGCAAGGTAAGTAAATTAGTCTAAGTTTATTTTTTTTATTGGATGACTAATTTGACTAATATTTTTAAAGGATGAATTGGAAAACTTTTAAGAGTTGACAAGACACAAAACTAATGCATAAATACTGTAAATATATTGTACTTCAAGTATCTTCAGAAGACTTCATTTATACATTGTTTTGACAAATGCAAAAAATAACACTGAAAAAATAAAAGGGATCATATACATACAATACTCTGAACACGAAAAGAGCAAGGTACCAGATAAATCTTAAATATTTCATATTTTATACCAATTTATTGAATTACATTACTATACCTAGAAATATAGTTGCCATCTTATGGTGTCTGAAGCACTCGGTGAGGTCATAAACATAACAGGAAGCTCAAAATTTAGCAGCAACATTTTTAAGTTAGCTATCATTTCTGACTAAAGAGTCCTATGAAAATAGCAAGCAGAGCTGAGGCTTTTTAGTGATAGCCATGGCAACAAAAGGACAAATCAGAAATTCAGACTGAACATGTAGGACCACTCCTTCACCTTTTAAATCTCATAGTCAAATCTCTTCTAAAGCTGAACTTCCAAGCCTTCTAATTAATTGGATTAGAGTACCTCAGTTACTTTCTTTAAAGAACCTTGCTTTCTATATAAATTAGAGGAAATTAAAGACAGATTGTGTATTTTATTATTATTATTTTCAATTACAGTTGATATTCAATATTATTTTTTATTAGTTTCAGGTGTACAGCATAGAGATTAGACATTTATATAATTTACCAAGTGATCTCCCCAGTCAGTCAAGTATCCACCTGGTACTATACATAGTTATTACAATATTATTGACTATATTCTGCATACTGTACTTCAAATCCCATGAGTATTTTGTAACTACCAATTTGTACTTCTTAATCCCTTCGCCTTTTTTACCCAGTTCCCTAACCCCCTCTCCCATCTGGCAATCATCAGTTTCTATCTATGAGTCTGCTTTAATTTTGTTTGTTCATTTATTTTGTTCCTTAGATTCCATATATAAGTGAAATCATATGGTATTTGTCTTTATCTGACTTATTTCACTTAGCATAATACCCTCTAGGTCCATCCATGTTGTTGCAAATGATAAGATTTTTTTTCTTTACGGCTGAGTAGTATTCTACTGTAAATATGTACCACAACTTTTTCGTCCAGTCAGGACAAAGACTTTGGAAACAATTAGAAAGAAAAGACAAGCAGTTTAAAAATATTTAGATCAATAGAAATATTCTAAATGCCTCTTACAATTTCTACAAGGCATTGCTAGATATGAATTAAATGCTATCAATCAGCACATTAGTTATAAAGAAATGGAGGAATTCCTCAGTTTTTTTCTGACTTAAAAAAAATGGGGCCTTCTAAATTGAAAAACTTAAGAGAATTCATTCTTTTAATTCAAAATGGAAACCTCTTTTTAGAATCTTAATTCCTAAAATTGTACCCCAAACAAGTGTTACCTGGTATTCTCGAGGCAAAGGCTTTGGAAACTTCTGCAAATTACACACTGCAACTGCTCTCTGGTCTTGCCTGCATGTTAACTGCAGTGGATTACTTCTGAGAGTGTCACAGTAAGGACTCAGCATCTGTCTCCTGCACACAAAGATAACCATTACAAGTCTATTCTAGAGTTTATCTTTTCCATTATAATTTCAATATGTTTTAATAGCTTAAAACTTTGCCAAATCAGGTTACAAACTTATTTTTCAAAGGGTAAAAGGAATGCTTAATGTAGATGTGAAAGATTAATGCTAGATGCATTATAACATTATTTCGCTGTTAAGTAAAATCTTATTTATCTCTTTCTCTGCTTTTATCAGTAAAATGGAGTTTGAAGATCTGATTTGTATTTTTATGACAAAAAAATGGAATTCCAGATCCTGCCTAAAAACACAAACCTTCATAACTAACAAATAGAGTTGCAGAAGCAGATGAAGATGATGTCCCCTCTGTCCTGCAGCTACAAAGAGTGAAACACTTCCCATGCCATAACCTAACTCATGGAATCCTACCTGATAATTTGGTAAACTGAAAACATTCACAAGACAATCCTTTTATCCTGTGCCAAACGAAGATTGTGTGAATTTTCCTAATTGTTACGACTTATACTTTACTGTGTTAAATCTAATACTGGAAGTACAACTTGGTAAAAGGGATCCTATAATTCTCCAAAGACATCAGAATCTGTTGCACTGTCTTGTCAAAATACCTTCAAACAAACCGATAACTCTGATCGTCATCTTATTGAAAATTATGTTATATTAATATTATAATAGTAATGTTATAAATGAAATTACAATATTCCTAAACAATATAAATCCTATTAAGACTGATCTGCCAAATTGTAATAGGATCACTGGTATTTTTCCTCTTCTCCTACATGCTTGTTAAAGAAAAAACAAGCGTAGGTTAGATTTCTTATTTTAAGGAAGATTGACAGTTGCCTCATTTAACTTTACATAGTAGAACAATAAAACATCTCTAGGGAATTATAGCTTCTTGAGATAAAATGTATGAAATACCTACTAGTCTTTGGTAAACTTGAAGCAGTACAGTTTAATAAAAAAGCAAAGGTACTGAAGTCATTACACAGGCTTGGTTTCAAATACTATCTTAATTTGGTATTTACTTAACTTTCCTAAGCTTCATCTGTAAAGCACTCAGTGCCTAGCACACATAAGTTACTCAATAAATATAATTTAACTGTAAATACCATTTTTATAAAATCTTCATATAAGGCAATTTTATATGATAAAGTTTCTAATGAATATGATCAGTAGTTCTTATTAAGGTACTTTCTCGATACCATGAAATTCATTTCCTTTTTCTCTAAAATAAAAACAATACATAATATTCGCTTTAAATTAATTAAAAATGAGTTTTGTCTAAATGAATAAAAAGTAATAAGGAGGTTAAAATATATGGATTTTAAAAATTCCAAAACTAGAGTTGTTCAAGATTCATGGCTTACAAATTCTACAGCCACACTGCCGTAAGGGTGGAGCCCTAATCTGATAGGACTGGTGTCTTTATACCAGAGGAAGAGAAACCAGAGTGCATTCTCTGCTATATGAGGACACAGTGAGAAGGCAGCTGTCTATAAGCCAGAAAGAGAACTCTCATCAGAAACCAAATTAGTAGGTACCTTGATCTTAGACTTTGCAGCCTCCAGAATCGCAAGAAAATAATTTCTGTTGATTAAGCCACCCAGTCTGTATTTTGTTATGGCAGCTCAAGCAGACTTAAGACATCAATGGCAATAAAAGTACAACTGTTGAAATTTGTGGGACATAGCTAAAGAAATGCTGAGAGGGAAATTTACATCACTGAATATACACATCAGAAAAATATAACATCTAAAATCAATAATTAAGAGTCTAAAGAATAAACTGAAAACAAGCAAAAGAAAGGCTATAATAAAAATAAGAGCAGAAATGAATGTATTTGAAAACGGAAAAAAAAGGAAAGACATCAATGAAACAAAAATCTAGTTCTTTAAAAAGACTAGTAAAATTGATAAACCTCCAGCAAATGTTAAAAAAAAAAAACAAAGAGAAGAAAAAAATCAAAGGATTTTTTTCATTTATTATAATTTTTTTCACTCATAATAAATACAATATATAGTGATTCATTATATACAGTATGAATCCATTTATATAACATTCTTGAAGGAACAAAATTACAGAAATGAAGACAACTACTGGTTTTCAGGAGTAAGGAGGGATAGGTGGGAGAGAAGTGAGTGTGGCTAAAAAAGGGAAACAAAAAGGATCCTTGCAGTGATCCAGATGTTCTGTGTCTGACTGTATCAGTGGCAATATCCTGGTTGGGATACTGTATTATAATTTTGTAAGATGTTATCAATCAAGGAAATTGGATAAAGTATATATATGATCTCTGTATTTATATTTTTACAATAGCATGTGAATCTCCAATTATCTCAAAATAAAGGGTTAAAAAATACATTTATAACATATAACATAAACGTGTGTATGTGTGTGTGTATCCCCCCAAAATGGAGATTGTATTTTAAAAAGAGCTTGCTAGTGAACATGATATTCATCCAGATATGATATTCTTCCTAATACCTTCATTTTTGATACTGAATCAACAAATGCATCTATATCTGAGTGCATTTTCTGAATAAAATAAGAATTAAGGCATAAGAAAATTTTTGCAATACATGTATTTATGAATTACAATCTAAACAGAAATGCTTTACGGCTCTGGCTCCCATGCTGTAGATTTTTTTTAGTATACGATTTAAAACAATACTGCAGCTACTTGCTGTATTATCACCAAGCACCATATGGCTTCCTATGTGTTTTGAAATTGAAAACAGACTCTAGATAAAGAATAAAATCAGAAATAAATCACGTTATCAAAGGCATTAGAGGAAATATATTCTTACTTTTTTCTCTGCTGATCAATCCAGAATTTACAGCTCTTCTTGACAAAGTCACAGCCCATTCCTCGGCCCCAGTCTAACTTCTCAGCCATGCTATAATTAGCTTTATACCAGCTGCAGAAATAATTCAAACAAAGCACTTTTTATTACTGTCATTTAAAAAACAATTCCAGCATATCAATGACAAATCTCAACAATGAGCAAACTAGGACCTTAAAAAGGATTTTGGTGACCATCACCAAAAATAAGCATTACGAAGAAACTCTTCTCTACACAGGGATTGCTGCACAGGATCACTGGAGCAGGCACTAGAAAACCTCAGCCTTATGGTGAGGGTACTTTCATATTTGAAAAAACGAAAACAAACATTTCTATTGTAATTTCCAAAGATGATAGTAGTCACAGAGTAGAAAGTGGTTAAGGTGTAAGACAAAGGAATAAAGGTCAAAGAAACAGAACAAATATGAGAGAAAAAGAGAAGGGAGTAAACTGAGGAAGAAACAGTAGAATCACTACTTGGCTAGCCTTTACATAATCTGATTCAGTTGGCCCTAGTTTCTTGCTTCTCTGGCCTTGATTTTGTGACATTTCATCAATACAGGCCCTACTTGAGACTAACCATTGCACCATAAGACAAATGAATACTATGTCCAATATGTATAATGACATGTATCCACAAATGTACATTTCTTTTTCTTTCTCTCTAAAAATCAATAGAATACCAAAAAAGGATTGCTTTGTAGGTAGTAAGGGTAAATAAACATTGCTACATGAAACTTTGGTTCAGTTTTATATATAATAGCTAATACTTAGTTGGCACTCACAATGTGCCAAGTAGTGTACAAAGGGCTTTATGTATATTAACTCACTGAAGTGACATAAAACTCAGTGAGGTAAGTATCACTTTTATTACTATTTTATAGATCAAAGAACTGCAGCAAAGATACAGCAAGTAAGTGGCACAGCTGGAAATTTGAATCTAACGTTCTGGCTTCAATGTCTGTGTGCCTTTTTTAAAAAAATTGAGACATAATTCACATGTCATAAAAGTCACTCTTACAATGTATATAACTCAATGTTTTTAGTATATTCGCAAGGGTATGCAACAATTACCACTATCTAATTTTAAAATATTTTCATCATCCCCTCAAAAAAACAATGTACCCATTAGCAGTCACTTCCCAGTCCCTGGCAACCACTAATCTTTCTGTCTCTATAGATTTGCCTATTCTGGACATTTCATAGAAATGGAATGCGGTCCTTTGTATCTGGCTTTTTTCACTTAGCATATTTTTAAGATTCATACATGTTGTGGCATGTATTAGTACTTCAATTCTTTTTTGATTTTATTTTTTAGAGCAATTTTAGGTTCATACCAAAACTGAGTGGAAAGTACAGTTTTCACATATCCCTTGCCCCCTCAACATACATACTCTGCCCCTCTATCAACATACTTCAATAGAGTGTGCTACATTTGTTACAATCGATGAACCTACACTGACACATCATCATCACCCAAAGTCCATAGTTTATGTTAGGGTTCACTCTTGGTGCTGTACATTCAATGGGTTTGGGCAAATGTATAATGTATAATGTATTTGTTCTTAATCATTATACATGTATGTGAGTACTTTGGTCATGATATATTACTTTCTGTGGGAGATATTATGCTTAAACGATTACAAAAAGACACTTGGATAGAATGTATGAAGACCTTTGGGCAGTAGAAAGGACCATTTAAGATGGAGGGAGACAGAATTAAAAATCTACTATAGTAATCCAGGCAAAAGATAATGGTAGCCTTGATAAAGGAGTGGTGACCAAAAAAGTAGAGATTCCAAGGATACTGAGGAACTAAAAATCAAGCAAGATTCATGACTGATTGGATGTGAGAGGTGGAGAGAAGAAGCTGTCAAGGATGATTCCCAGGTTTCTGGATGAATAAATCATAATGTATTTTACTGGGAGAAGCAACTCAGTTAAGCTAAAGTCATACAGATTTTTGAAAATTAATTTCTATGTCTATGATTATAAAATATTGCCAGAAATTTAGAAATGTATGGTCCATGTTGCTTTTGTGTTGCCTGAAAAAAAGCAAAAAATGCTTTAAAATTCACCACTGTCATGATTTCATATACTCCACAGTGTTTCTATATCCTACTGGTATCTTTAAAAAACTGGCATTGTTTAAAAAAGGGCTATAAATAGGTTATTAAGCAGAGCAGCAGGAACACTTCTGCTGGCAATTGCTTATTCAGGGATAAAAAGGTAAGAGTTAAAAGGTTTTTTTTCCTTTTTTCTCTTACAATTATACGAATTTTCTAACTTAGTCAACTGTAAAGTAGGACAAACAATGGCAACCTAGTAACAATGAACAAAGTGCTTAAGCTGTAGTTTCTAAAAACCATTAAAAGGAACCAGTGCTCCTTGGAAGACTGGCTGATGCCTAGATTTAAGACAGACTATGTGCTGATCATCCTGGTACATCCTGCTATATCAGAAAACAAGGAAGCTCTCAAAAACCAACCAGTCTTGTCAAAAGGACTCAGGAGTCAGCAAAGAAAAAGACTCCCATTGGAGTCATTTAAAAATAGTATTCTATTCCTTTACCAGAAAGTTCTACTGCTTTAAAAACCAGGAATCTATACATCACCGATTTCATTTATAATTTTAAAAATTGTTTAGTCTTTCCTTCATATTAGCATAGTCTCTACTTATTGGAAAATAAATCTCATAATACCAGGAATTTTGTTCTATTCATTACTATACCTCAGGGTCTCAAATATTTATTGAATGAATGTAGTTGTTACGGGTAATAAATAGCTAACTGCACAAAATTCAAGGAATGTTTTACTTCACTGTAAAATGTCTGTATTTTCTTAAGCTAATATTCATTTCATCTTAACCTTAACATTAATCTTAATATTCATTTAATTTTAATAAACAATTCATATAATAAATAATCTCATAGTTGTCTTACCCAGTGTCCTCCATTAATGCCAGAGTGATTCGAGAGAGGACTCGGTTCTGGGTGTGAGAACCAGTCATTGCTTCATTCTGAAAATCACCAACGGGTTTTAATTACAAAACTGAACACCTTGCAACTCTCAATAATTTCTGGGATTACTTTGATGTATATTTAAAATGCCTCAAGTGTGAGAAGCTGATGAAATATATTCACTTAAAATAATGAAATCCATAAGCCCTCTTTAAAAAGACAAGACTGGAGCTTAAAGTAAAATCTACTCTTTGCCTCAAATGTATATATTGTGTATAATTTTCCTTAAATGGCAGATGACCAGCATTTAGAACTCTGTGATGAAAATGAAAATAAATATATGAAAACAGAAATACTATAAAAATATTCCACTATCTATGCAAAGTAAAGGGAGTGGTTGAGAAAGATGCCCAGATAATGGAGCATAGGGAATACTTACCTGAATTACATGGAAATGCTTTCATAACCCTCAACCTTGTGATCATAGAAATACATATTAATATGCAAAACAAGTAACACAGAATCACAGGATCAAAGGATTTGCATGAGGGACCTAAAATATCATCAAGGTCTACTATCTACCCAATATTTTAATTCCTATCATAAAATTCTTACCAGTAGGTCACCTAATGGTAGGTACTTCACTGCCTCTTAAGAAAGCATATCCATCTTTGGGGAACTCTTGATTATTCTTTGAATATTTATGTTGAATATTAGATGGTCATTTTGAGTACTTTAATATCATCTTTTAAAAAAATAGTTCTGCTGAAAAGTAAGTTTTCATTTCTTGCCAGTCTACAGCTTTCTAAAGGAAATCACTTGAGAAAACTGCTTAAGGAAAATATACAAACTGACATTCCCATGGGAGAAATAAGTGTATCTTTCATAAATTTCCATCACTGTTACTTTGTGATCACCTAGATAAGAACAGTCAGCATTAATCTCTTTTCATAATTTTGCTAACTTGGGTCATGATATATATAAGCTACAACTATCAAAGGAGCCAAATAGATCTCTAAAAATAACTCACACACACAGACACATACCGCCTTTGACCTAGAAATTCCACTTCTAGGGATTTATCTTTTCTCTTCCTATGTACAGAAATCTGACCTTGAGTTAACTTTCTAGTTCTGCTCCCCTGGAAACCTGATAAAGGTGGAATGTCAACTGTGTTACCAAGCAACACTACATAGGGAAAAAGACCTCCTGATATGCCTCTGAACTGGGGATTACTACAAGTGAACACAAATACCTGTTGATAAGCCACAGTCTGGGACTTCTCTGTATGCAGTGACTCTTATAGGTATGTCCCTTATAGGGATCTCGAAGTCAAGTCCACAGAACTATTAAAAAAGATATTGGTTCTTATTTGGGACATGATACTTCTAAGCCAGGCTGGTTCTTACACCCATTTGTAATGGTCTTGTGCTCCTATATTTGAGCTGGAGGGGGAAGGAGAGAGGCTCCTGAACTGCTGTGTGGAGCATGCTGTGCTTTTTTGTATCCTTCTAAGTGAATGTTTTTTCAGTGTGACCAGTTTAGGTCTTGTTAGTTTGATTGTTTAATTGAACCTAAGAACAACCACTAAAACAACATTTCTAGAAAGCATTGCAGATATAAATATGTTGCTCATCACAATACTCATTACAATATTTTTTAAATAAAAAATTTAACACAATTGTTCATTAACACAGGAATGTTGGTAACATTCATATAATACTGTGTAGCTGTTAAAAAATGAGTAGATCCAATATACAGTCTATTTTGCTAAAGCATGTGTTTCCATATGAATGAGGTCACGTGAGACTGGTAAATAAGGAAACAATGACAGTGTAATAAGGACTCATGATGGTTCATAATGATTTTTCCCTGGATGTCACTGTTTTATATAATGGAGCAAGAGTGGCTAAATGCAGCACATACTAAGACAAGCACACACAGCAACAAAGAAAAGCTGTGTGCACAGTGCACTGCTCCATGTCCACTTATCCCACGCTCTTC